GAGTCTCACTGCCCAGCTCTGTCCTCCTGTGCCAGGTCCCACCTGCTGGGCTGTGGAGGCAGCTCATGCCTGTCCAGCCAGGCTGTAGCCCTGTGTCCCACTATACTCCTTATGATGTCATCTATGGTCAGGTACTCCCCCTGCCCTACACACGGGGTGGCTGGGGCACTGTGGGGTCAGGAGTGAGGGACACCAGCAGGGCTGGGGTGGTGGAAGCAGTGTTCCCTCTAAGCTGCAGTGTGTGCAGACATGCTTATGCTGTGCTGCCAGGCGGGCCTGCAGGGCCAGGCATGCTGTGCAGCTTAGAGGGAACGCTGGGTGGGAGGCTGTAGGTCAGGAGTGAGGGGCACCAGTAAGGCTGGGGGGCCTGCAGATTGGGAGTGAGGGGCACCAGAATATCAGGGCTGCTCATCACCAAAAAGGAGGAGTGGCGGGGCAGGGTGGGGGAAGAAGGGTGGAGCCACAACTGGACCTGCATTCTGGTTAGTTAAGGGGGCAGGGGGAGCTCTGATTTTCTGCAATATAAAAACCAAAATCCAATGCAAAAATATATAGGTAGTTGGAATTTATTTTATTTTATTATAATGTTTGAGGCACTGGATAGGCTTCCAAATTGCTTTAAAATTGTAAATATAAATCAGTAAAACATTGCGTGTATTCAATTGTCACACACACACACACAAACACACACACGTATGTACAGCAGTTCATCATAGAAAAATGCAGGGTTTTTTTAAAAAACAGATAATTTTGGATTTTTAAACAGAGAAAACCAGGATCCTTGTACATCACTACATTTCTGTTCAAATCTTAAGCCAGCTGCAGGACTGTTAACTGCAGTATATGCAAGATGCAGTTAGTATTTTCAAATTTATTTCAAGAAGCTTCATAAGCATAATTAGCATATTTTTTAAATAAAAAGTTGACCTATATAATGGAATATTGCCAACCTTTCTGGTAAGACATTAAAGTTAATACATTCTTCAAAAAGCCATACATTGTATTGATGCTCATTAGAACATCAAAAGATTTGCAGTGAAACATTTGATACAAATGTTTTTTAAAGAGACAACGGTTGTCATGGGACACTTCAACTACCCAGACATCTTGTGGGAAGAGCGCTTGGCTAAATCCGAACAGTCACAAAATTCTCTCACATGTATGGTTAACCCCTCTCTCTCTGAGTGGGAGGCAGCGGCTGCATGGAGCCGGGCATGGTCAAGCCCTCGCCCAGGCCCCTACTTTGCCCAGACCCCCAGGGAGCCACGCGACCTGAGCCGCGCGACCAGGCTGCACAAACAGGCACGCTGTCTGCCAGCGCGTGAGTTAGCGCGGAGTTTGCGCAGGACGGGGTGCAGGAGGGCCTGAGACCCTGCCTGCGAACCCACCAGGGTAGTCAGTCCCAGCCGTAGCCAGCCTACCAGAGGCATGACAGATGGGCACGCGCTGCACCCCGAGGGTCCCCTTGGGCTCTGCGGCCCCCCCATCGGGCACCTCAGAGATGGCCACCCAGACAGAGCCCATGGTTCCAGGCTCCACGCAGACGGAGCCCCTGGCTCTTGGTTGCGGGGGCTGCCTGTCCCTTTTTCAGGCTCTGGGGCCCGGGAGCATGACCACCTCCCCGTGTGGGGTCTGCTCCCTTTTGGGGTCCCTGGCATGCCAGCTGGAGGAGCTTCAAGTCACAGTCCAGAGACTACATGCCATCAGAGATTGTGAGCAGGAGATTGACTCCTACTGCCAGGCCCTTCTCCCCTGGGAGCCGGAGGGGTGACCGCCGTCTCCCTCCAGGACAAAGGAGGACTCCAGGACCTCCCACTCTGTCCAGTCTGTCCAGTCAGGGGCATGGACCAAGGTGGTCAAGGGCCCTAAGGCCCGCTGCACCAAAGCCTCTGCCCCACCGGAGCTTAGCAATAGGTTCGCTCAATGCAAAGAATTATGATGTCATCGGGATAACGGAGACCTGGTGGGACTCCACCCATGACTGGACCATGGGTATAGATGGCTATACCCTGTACAGGAGGGATCATGTAGATAAGAGGGGCGGGGGTGTAACTCTTTATGTTAAGGAAAGCTACATGTCCCTGCAAGCTGATATTGGCGACCAGGGTGGACAGCTAGAGACCCTCTAGGTTAAAATTCGTGGGGAACATGGCACAGGGGACACAATGGTGGGAGTCTACTACAGACTTCCCACCCAAAGTCCTGAGCTTGACCAGGAGTTTGCCCAGGAACTGGCTGAGGCCGCATGCTCCAGGACCATGGTTGTCATGGGTGACTTCAATTACCAGGACATCTCGTAGGAGGATCACTCAGCTAAATCCGAACAGTTGCAAAGCTCCCTTTCATGCGTGGATGACCTCTACCTGACTCAAGAAGTCTATGGGCCAACAAGAGGCAAAGACTGCTCGACCTGGTACTGGCTACAGGGGATGACCTAATCAGCGACCTAGTGATCGATAGGAAGTCTTCGATAGGAAGCTGGGTGACAGCGACCACGAGCTGATCACCTTCACCATCCGCCGTAAAGCTGACAAGTCAGTCAGCAACACAGAAGTCCTTGACTTCAGAAAAGCCAACTTCGACAAGCTCAGGAGGCTTGTCAGTCAGGCCCTAAGGGACCATGACCCCAGGGAGAGGGGAGTTCAAGAAGAGTGGTTGCTCCCCAAGGGAGCGATCCTCAATGCACAAGCTAAGTCTATTCCATTTCGAAGGAAAGGCAGCAAGAGGGCACAGCAGCCCCCTGGCTCTCCAGGGACCTAGCAGACCTCCTGAGGCTAAAAAGAAAAAAGCCTTCAAAGGATGAAGGATGGGATCCACCTCCAAGGAGGAATATTCTGCACTGATTTGGACCTGCAGAGACCAAATCAGGAAAGCCAAGGCTGCAATGGAACTCCAACTGGCTACAAGTATCAAGGACAATAAAAAGTCCTTTTTTAGATATGTGGGGAACAGGAGGAAAAGCAAGGGCAACACTGGACCCCTGCTAAACCAAATGGGACAACTGATAACTGACACCCATGAAAAAGCCAACTTGCTAAATGGGTACTTTGCGTCGGTCTTTCACCAGTCCCAAGGGACGCCCCTGCCCATTATGGGGCAGGAAGGCCTGGGTGAGGGAGATTCCTTACCCTCCATCAGTGCTGACCTTGAGAAGGAACACCTTGAGAAGCTGGATACCTTCAAGTCAGCCAGCTCTGACAGCTTACACCCCAAGGCACTCAAGGAGCTGGCGAGCATCAGAGCCCAGCCCCTGGCACAGATCTTCGAGAACTCTCGGCGCTCCGGTGAAGTGTTCGAAGATTGGAAGGCCAATGTGGTGCCTGTCTTCAAGAAAGGGAGGAAAGTGGATCTGGCAAACTACAGGCCCATCAGCATGACCTCTATCCCGGGGAAGGTCCTAGAAAAGATTATCAAAAGAGACCATTCTCAACAGTCTGGCCGATGGCAAAATCCTGAGTGATACCCAGCATGAGTTTGTTGCAGGTAGGTCTTGCTTGACCTATCGTATTTCTTTTTATGAACAGGTGACCTATCACCTGGACAAGGGGAAGAGACTGATGTCATATCTTGACTTTAAAAAAAGCCTTTGATCTGGTATGCCATGATCACCTCTTGGCAAAACTGGCCAACTGCAGCCTCGGCTTCTCCACAATCTGCTGGCTGGGGAATTGGCTATGCGGTCAGACCCAGAGTGCGGTGGCTGATGGAAGTCGTGGTGCCCTGTGACCAATGGGGTCCCTCACGGCTCTGTCCTCGGGCCTAGTGTTCAACATCTTCACTAAGGATGTGGACATTGGCATCAGAAGCGAACTGGCCAAGTTCACCTATTACACCAAACTTTGGGGTAAAATGTCCACACCTGAGGACAATCCAGGTTGACCTCAACAGGCTCAAGAAATGGGCAGACGAGAACCTGATGGCATTTAACACTGAAAAAAATGTAAGGTTCTCCACCTTGGGAGGAAAAACCCACAGCATGCTTATAGGCTCAGCAGTGCTACACTGGCTAGCAGTTCAAATGAAAGGCACTTGGGGGTCATGATGAACATGAGCCACAAGATGAACATGAGCCATCAATGTGATGCTGCAGCCAGGAAAGCAAGCAAAACACTGGCTTGCATCCATAGATGCTTCTCAGGCAAATCCCAGGATGTCATTCTCCCGTTGTACTCGGCCTTGGTGAGGCTGCAGCTCGAGTACTGCATCCAGTTTTGGGCTCCACAATTCAAAAAGGATGTGGAGAGGCTTGAGAGAGTCCAGAGGAGAGCCACACACATGATCAGAGGTCAGGAAAACAGACCTTACAATGACAGGCTGAGAGCTATGCGACTCTTCAGCCTGGAAAAGTGCAGGCTCAGGGGTGATCTGGTGGCCACCTACAAGTTTATCAGAGGTGCTCACCCAAATCTGGGGGAACATTTGTTCACCAGAGTGCCCCAAGGGGTGATGAGATCAAATGGTCACTAACTCCTCCGTGACCATTTCAGGCTGGACATAAGGAAGAAGTGCTTTACTGTCCGAGCCCCCAAGGTTTGGAATAGACTGCCGC